CCGTCACCCACCTCACGCCCACGTCACGCGGCGGAGGGTCGTCACGCGATGAGGACGTTAGCACGCTCGAGACGACGTGACGTCACGTTGGAGTTGGCGTGACGGGCCGCAGACCCGCGCGACAGGGTAGCGTCCCTTATTGATTATACGACGACGCCGGTCGCCATCGATCAGATCCCCGCGGGACCAGCGAAGGGTCGTGGGAACGCATGAATGGCGCGAAGGGCGCGCGTCGTCTGCTGCGAGACTGAGTGAGCTGTGGCCGCACCCACGCCAGGAGAACTTAGAATGTTCACCTATTCCTAGGACAGCGATGGTCCATATTAATACATTTTTTAAAAGCCTTATTCGTAAGGTTTGCAGGTTGTTGTTGTTGTTTTGTTTTTTTTTGTTTTTTTGTAGAGGAGCTAATTTCACTGAGTACACAGTGCATGAATACATGATGAATGCTGCGATGCGAAAGGTGCGGATGGTTCCGCCTCTCTCATTTATACCGCACTTTCCTTCCTTATGAGGCAAGAAGGCGAAGGCCGTCGCAGGGAACTCCGCAAAGTCGTTTCCTAGCTCAAATAGCTCGGCACCCTCTTCATCCACTCCCTCCTGATGACGGACAGGGTCGCCTTTTCAGGCTGCCGCGCCGGCCGGATTTTCGGGAGCTGAGACGAATAACCGAAAAGGCCAGCGGCGAGCAAAGAGCAAGAGAGCGAGAGAGGGAGGGAGAGCGAGTGAGCGAGTGAAAGAGAGAGGTGGACGGGGACGGGGCTCAGTCGTCGTCGGCCAAAGCAAACAGAACAGGTACGAGAAGAGAGAAGAAACACGAGGGCGCCTTGTTTGACAATGTGCTGCGCGGCGGGGCCAGCAGCGGGCGACGGCGGCGCCGCCTTTTCTGCGAGGATATGAAAGGCGGGAGGAGAAGGAGGAAAGAGAGGCGGGGGGCGAGGACTTTGGCCGATAGACGACATTGCGCGAGGTGAAATAGAGAGGGGGGAGGGTACGGACGGACCCCTGGGGGGGAAACGTTCCAGCAGCAGCGAGCAGCAGCAGCAGCTCGATATCAACGACATTCTTGGTACATCCTTAGTCCCGCGCTCTCCCTTCCTTCCAGCCTCCTTCATGATCCGCGTAAGGATGATCCCCGCGTCTAGCAGGTCCACCGGCCCCGCCCCGCCGTTCCTCCGGGCTGTTAGGACCCACCCCCGGGGATCACGCTGATGGAGTCAGCCAAGCCCGGCCAAGCCTGGCGGCGCAATGGCGGCGCCATCGCAAGGGTGCTGGAGGTATGGGATGGGGTGCGCGGGTACACCACTCGCTCTCTCAAGAAACAATTTCTGTCTTTCTTTTTCTTCTTTATTTTTGAGCGGGTATACGTTTGTTTTCTTTTGTAGGTTTGCTGGTCGAGCAGGCCTACTTCCGTAGCAAAGAAAAAGGGGGCAAAAGGGTGGATTCGGACATGAAAGGAAGGAAGCGGTGGAAGCACGTGCCGAAGTGGCACGGGGCGGGGCGTGGCGGGGCGTGGCGGGGCGTGGCGGGGCAGAACCTGGTCAGCCCGCGCGCCACCCTGCCCTGAGTTACGGCACCCCGCGCACCGCGTGACCCACAGCCGAGCGGGGAACAGCTGAGTGGGGCGCGCGGAGCGGAGGGGACTGTGACTGAGTGACGCAGGTAAAAGCAACGCTGAGGGCGTCGAAACGGTCGGCGGGGCGAAGGCGGGGCGAGGCGAGGCGGGGCGAGGCGGGGCGAGGCGGGGCGAGGTGGGCTCTAAACTACCCAGCCCAAGACACATGTGTGCGGCCGGGGCGTGGGGGGTGCCGTGCGATGGGAGGTCACCGCGGGTGGTGGGGAGCCGAGAGGGTGAAGGCGACGCGCTCATGAGGCGCAACGCCACCGCAAGAGCGTGGCGGGGTGTGGTGGTGGAGCGGGGTGGTGCGGGTAGGGTGGCCGGACAGAACAGGCCAATCGAGTTAGCCCAGCCCAGAGCCCCCGCTAGCAGTGCGAGCGCACTCCTCTCGCGAGATAGTTCGTGACAAGGAAGCTGCAAAGCGTCCCCCTTTCCCCAGTACAGCAGAAGCAGCAGAGCAGGCGCCGTCCGCTTTTGGTCGGGAAGTGCACTGCCTCGTTATTCCATTTTATTCGACCCCCCCAGAGAGCGTCGCGCGCGTCACAGCCGTCTGTGATTTGCTGTAGCGCTAAGCAGGGCGGCTGCGGCGCTTCCCACCTCCACCCGCCTCCGGCCGGCGGAACTCTCAGTCCTGAGTCTGGAGTCTGGGGGATGACGGGGCTGCGGGGCTGCGGTGCGGGGGCACGCGCTGTTTCTTGCTTCAGAAGACGGGGCGGCGGCGGAGGCGGGGAGACTCGGTTGGACTTGTTCCCAAAAAGATTTTGATGTCATTCCAGAAATTATCAGAGCTCGCATAGCCTTCGTTTTGGGGGGCTAGGGCCGTTTCGGAACAAACACGGGTCTCAACCCAGGAAAGGGTAAACTTACGAAACAAAAAAGAGAGAAAAAAGAAAAACTTCTAGGTCCAAGAATTGGGCGTATGTCGCCAATCTAGTTACAGTGTGACACGGAGGAGGACTATGCACACCATTACGGAAACAATGACACTCACCGTCGAAGCATTCCTCGTTGGCATCGCAGAGGTTGGCGTCGAACAGGCATCCTGGAACAGGACAGAGATGTAGCGTGAGTCAAACATCAACTGCGAGCAGAGAACTGAGCTGTATACGAGCAGCAGCGAGCTAAGCGCTGCTCAATTTGATAGAGTGCTAGTAGCGGGTTCAACCCTGCCCCTGCCCCCAACCCCAATACCTTATCCCCGTACCCCGTACTCTGATCCTCTGATCACAGATGCTGGTCGTTCGGAAATCCCACTCCCTCTGAGCTTTTCGCATCCTCGTCGCACCCAAACAAATAACAAGGTTTAGGTGAGGGAGGGAGGTGGGCAGGGGGTATGAGCAGGTGGTGGGTACGGGGTAGGCAGGGACGGGCAGGGGTTGGAAACGGCGACACATACACCCCCGGGGCAACGGAGAGCAACAAAGTACTAACAAGGCGAGAGTTTTGTCCGCCGTCGTCGTTGTTGATGTTGTTGTTGTGTAGCCCGGCGGAACGGAGCGAAGAGGATCGCGATATAAAAGAGATGACTGGCGCAGGGAAAGAGAGAGACCCGGTGAGAGGCAGACAGGTGCGCGGGGAGGGGAGGGAGGGGAG